TAGGGGAAACCGCTTGCAGCAGGTTCATGGACGGATGATACGTCTATGCAGGTATGTCGATCTTTGTCAGTAGATCAGAGTTTGAACATCCGGTAGCTCTGTCTGGCTGTGTCCCTATCGATTACCGGTGGAGACCTAGATTGGGTTGATGTTGCGCGAAGATGGACAAGTTGGTGGAGACTCGGTAGGTGAAACAAAAGATCTGTTAATTGGTTGCAGAATAACATCAGCAAGTAGGCTACCTTTCCGTGATCGGCCACTGCTTCGATATTGGTTAGTCGTACATTGTTTGAGCTCAGCTTCGATGTTTTACTATGCTGAATACCATTTTCAGGCATAGCAACCAGGTCAGCGCTTGCAACGTATGTTAAGTTGCTCGACAGTAATCACCCTCGACCCACTGGAGAACCCAATATGAACCCGGAGATCGTAAACTCGGGCAACGGTTCGCTTATGCGTCTGTCACCTGTTCCGGCTGCGTTGCACCACAATCCAGCCAAAGCGATTGCGACGGCGAAGCTCCAGTCCAAGGTGACACATTCGAGCCCACTCTGTCTGGATGCGTGCGTACTGGCTACCGCATACATGATCGGGTTCTATCATGCCAAGGGTAATGCGCGCGAGCGAAAGCAGGCGGTCCTGAATCCGGACTTTACGCCATTCGCCGATGGATCACCTATACCGCTCGTGACTGAGCGAGTACAGGAGTTGCATGAGCAAGGGACGTACAAGAATAGAGAAGTGTCCGAGGTGATGACCGATGGATTCGTGCTCTCGACACTGGAAGCTGCACTTTGGGCTCTCTGGCGGGGAAATACGTTCGAAGAGGTATGGGTCGTCTCACCTCGTCCAGATGCCGAGTTTTGAGGTTCTATCATTATGTTAGGGTCTAATGCTACTACTTCCTCTGGGCAGTGATGTTGATACGGTCAGTGCCGTGTACGGACAGCTTGCCGGATCGTGTTATGGGTACGATGAGATCCCCAGAAGATGGCTCAAAAAACTTCAGCAGCAAGATCTTCTGAGCGAATCATACCAAGGAATTATTACATTGGGGATGCAGGCGGGCCATTGAGCCTGGTATTTTTTGTTCTACCAAAAAGTTGGATGCTGTATTTGTATTTTCGGGATAACCTTCTGGTGCATATGCTGGCGAAGAGCGTCGGATCTCTTCCTGTTATCCCTGGTTACGCTAATAGTAGTTGATAGACTCTGGGCACCAAAGCTGGAATGTTAGTTGATGCGAAAAGCTCGGCTGTCCAAGGATTTGTCGTCCAGAAGTCAGGTAACCGACCAGGCCGACCGAGCTAGCGCCACATATAAGTACGAATTTTCTGGTTGAATGGTGGCACAAGGTACGCCCGCTGTCGACGAGGTACAATTAGACGCGTCGGGCGCAGTTTGGAAGCAGGCGCGAAGCATGCGTACGTCGCTCATGGGACCAGAGTTCGTGATGACGGGCCGGCGATCTCTCGAGGTTCTTTGCAGGGCCCTGATCGAACTACCGAT